GGGAAAAGGTGCAGCAACGCGTGTGCCTTTTGTAGTGGGTGGCCCGCTTTAAACCATGAAGTCATCATAATGACATGTTCTTACAATCGATGGCAACTTACACTTGTACCGCGCATTATTACGGCTATATTGCATGTTGCATTGTGCAGCATGTATACAGGACGCGTGTGTTCGTAAAGTATGCAAGTTACTTTCACTGCATTGCGAAACACAGGAAGTTATTTTCACTGTATTTCGAAGCAGACGCGTGGCCGTGTGATAGAACATCCGCTTACTACGCAAACTTGGACCCTATTGAGGCCGAGAATTTTTATTATTCACTTTATTAGCATATTTATCGATTTTTGAGCCATGCACAAGATGATGATTTTTCGCTCACAACCAACGACGCCGCCACCGACGGTGACGCCGGAATTTCAGCGAAACGAGCTCTTTAAGGCTATCGCGTTAATATTTCTACCATCACTATTCTTCCTTCATCTCCGACAGCGATCATCATACTTAGAGTTATCGTCGTTCAGAGCGCAGCTCGACCAAACAAATGGCGTTGAGGTAAACAGGCATCTGTCTCACAACACACACACAGAAAAAGCTGTCGTATACGCCACCAGGGACGTTTTTGTTGCCTCTCCTCGCCTGAATTACTGCTTTTTCCCCGTTGTCTACATGGCCCGAAAAGCACGTCCATCTAGGTACTAAAGCAATTATTATATTAAGGGACAAATTATTCTTCAGCACCAGCAGATGGGGGAACTGGGCCTTATTATTCAACCACCGGGGCCACTGATTTTTAGCCACAACAAAGCATCCAATACAAAGGAAGAGCTCAAGCCTCGCTTTCAGAAGCTGCCTTTCATTACGAACTCCAGCCGAAAAGCATTGGTATAATAATTTGATCTTTGTGATGTGAAACCATCACCCATCGATCGCCTTATTGCTGTTTCCGCAGCTGGAGGCCTTAGGAGCCTCATTCACAAAGCTCTTAACTTACAAGAATTTTTTTAATGTTTGACGGACAACACGAATAAATATATAAAGCGTCCCAATTAGATAGCTTCTTACCTAAGAAGGCATTCTAACGTAATCATTTTTGTCGCTGCGAACACGGGTACACACGTGTAAAAAGTATTAAAGTGATATTTACACATTTTTGAAATCTTCTAATTAGCGTTACATCGCTTATTTCATGTTACACATTTCATTTTACGAAGCCCATTCTACGTGACCTTAGGAAAGAAGGAACCACGAGAAAAGTAACATAAGACAAAAAAAAAAAAAGAAAGCCGCTCCCTAATGCGCTAATGCTATAACTCGTAAGTGTACAGTGACCCCATGCTCTAAGCGCTAACTGCGCTTGGTTTTTTTTCCTTCTTTCTCTGTCGGGTCGAGCAGTGACGGTGGCCGTCGGGTTAAATAATACGCCAGGCCGGTTCACAATTTTCCTAGCTGCACCTGGCCTCTCGTGGCGACTGTGTCACGTACACTGCAGAATGCGTCGTCGTGTTACCTGGCTAGCACTCGCGCCTCCGAGGCTGGAAAGCGTGCACAAGCTGAGATCGAGAAACAATGGGCGAGATAAGGTCAAGTCCCGCTAAATAAAGAACAATCGCCGCAGCACGCCGTGCCCGTGCCCTGTGCAGTGGCCCCGTTTTCTTTTTGAAGTGGGACTCTTTTCGGAGATGTTCGAGCTGCCCCGGGTGCGAACAGAGCGCGACAATTACAGTCGCTGCATCGGCGCGGCGGGCACTGATTGCGCCGCCCGGCTTCTGCATGGAGAAGTGCGAATCGTGCGGCCCACGAACGGCATCAGCTCCATAATGCCCATCTTCTCGCGAATCTGTAATAATAATAGCCGCATCTCATTTGATGCGGCTCACGGTCGTTGACCGTCCCTGTCGATGTTCACGACTAGGCAGCAACTTGTATCTGCCACCCTTTCACAGAACTTGGGTTGCCTGACTTGCTTCTGGTCATGGTCGTTTTGCTTTCTTCGTTTGAAAATTCTCATAAGGAATATCGTTGATAGTTAAGCTATGAATATTGTAAGGTAAGGAAAGAGTTAATCTGCCAAGGGGGCAAATAAATCAGCAATCAAAATCTGGGACACACCATTTGGAGGCTTCAGACTCAATATAGAGCATGGAGGGAAAAAGCAGGGTGACTGCGCAGTGTTTTTTTCTTATTCTCGCTTCCTCGCTTTTATAGACTTCTTATTATAGGGTCGAACAAACTTAAGAAGGAACTGTGTATTTAATGCGTACAAACCTTTCTGTTGAGCAGGCTGAGGCATAAAACGAAAAGCCTAGTGTGCCCGACATGAGAATCACATTAATTCGCTTTTTTGCATAATATCTCCACGGCGCGAATTCTGAATAACGGGAATGCGCACTAATTGATAGACGGCAGTGCATCCTGTCCAATCGAAATTAGAGAACGGGAAACCCCGGTGTTGTAGATATAATCTTGCGCCAGCCGAGGCGTGCGGCCGCCATCGATTAACAACTGAGATATGTATACGGGCAATTTCCCGCCGAGCCGTTTATAGCTTGTCCTGCCGGCCGGGCCCCTCAAAACGTGCGGGCGCTGGCCTTAGGTGGCGCAGAAGGGGGCGCGTGCCAAGAATCGGCCAACCACCCGGTGCCTGCGATGCAGCCGCTTCGCCAGTTGAGAACGTGCTTCACCAAGAGGAAGCGACCGCTGGTCTCGTGGGGGAAGTAACTCGGTTCTTTCCAGCACCACTTCCTTCCCGCTGTTGCCATTGTCGAGCGGCTGGTGGCACGTTCCTCCAAGCTGGCAGGCTGGCACAAGTGCACACGTTGCCTAGCGGCAGCGGAGAGAGAGAGAGAAAAAAAAGAAGAAATTCCGCTGAATAAGGAGCGTGTGGCGGCGCCTCAACTTCAGCCTTGGGGCAAGAGACTTTTACGATAGGCTTCCATCGGAAACTCCGACGAAAATTGGGCGTTTAAAAAACGAAACAAAACTAAAGGGCGGGCCTTTCGGGGGCATATAGTGTACGCTGCTGAAAAACCTTGAAGTGGAGTAAGTGCAAGAATGGAATGATGGTTGCTCATCAAATGTTCCAGGAAATGACTAGTGCTTTGGTACTCGTACCTTTAGCTTTGGAACATATCACGCAACTCGGAAGCAATTCGGCGGCTATCTTATGAAACATGTATGCGGGTGCATTATGAAATGCTACGCAAAAGATTAAGAATTCTATTTGATACGCATGCTAAACATCTGAGACACCCACATGTAAAGAAGAGAAAATTCATGTTCAGCTCCCGCAATGGCTGTGTTCAATAAGATAGGGAAGATTCATTATTATGTCTGATGCTTGCAAACAAAATTTAGTCGTTGCTCTCTTCAGGAAAACTTAGCTGTTTGACATTTGCTTGTGAATGCTTAATAAACCGATCAAAGTAAAGACATATATACTTGTTCGTAATCTCTCATGACACGAAGAAACCATCATATTCATGCACGCTCGCTCACACTCTCCTATGTTTGTGTGATGACAATCTGTGTAATATTTATTACTCACACTCAGATTATCCAGGCACATTTTAATGCCAACTGGGAACTGCCAACTGCTAACAATGGTACATTTTAGTGCCAACTGCTAACAGACACTTGGTGTGCGTTGTAAGTAAAAGAGAAAAATTTTGTGTATTATAATAAAAAAAAACAGACAGGGTTATTTCTTCTGAACTGGACAAGTAAAATAATCCATTGTCAAGGCGAGAGCCTTGTATATGTCTCAAGAGAAGGCGGCTTAGAGCGAACATCCGGCGTCTACTCGAATTTGTTTTCGAAAAGGCGCGTTTCCACACGCGCACGTAGTGGCTCAAGGAGCGTGATGTGCGCTTTTGCTTCGTTTTTGAGGCACTTCGCGTGACGGAAAAAAAAAAAGTTACCTACGCGACTCGGTCTACGAACGACTAAGGAGTGACGCGGCAAAGGTGCGTGATAGAGAGCCATGCCCTAGAGGATTGTGTGGTAGGCCGAAAAGGTATGCAACATCGAACCACGGTGGTCTATTGACTGTGCTGCTCGACTGCTGGCCCGAAGGTCATGGGATCGAATCCCGGTCGTGGAGATTTTGGAGGGAGGCTATATAATGCTTGATGTTCGTGTACTTGGATTTAGTAAAGTTTCGGTGCTCTCTAAATCGGCGTTTTTCATACTCATATCGGGGTTTTGGGACGCTGAACTCGAACAAACATTATTATTACAGAAAATGTATGCGACGCCAAAGAAGGCTCAACAACTTAAGCATGAAATGGAACGCGATGAGCTGAACGGCTTGCCAGATTCTGACGTGGCGCTTCATTCTAATAAGAAAAATTAAAGAGAAAAACTAATTGTCTCGTATTCATGATTTTACTCTCTCACGATAACAAAAGTGCCAAGCTTGTTGAGAGAAGACGTTCGGTAAGCGAGAAAACGTGCAAAGTGAAAAATGCAACTGGCGATGCCCCCTTGAACTTTCCGCACTATAGTTGCCTTGACTTAATTTATGTCGTCTTCTAGGGACCATGTAGTTCCTAACCGGTATAAAAGAAATAAATTGTGTTTTAAAGAAGCCAGATGAAATACGAGACATACCAATATTCGAAAAATTTCGTTATGCAAATGGAGTGAAAATACAAATCGAAATAAGTGCCGTCAACATCGGAGATTTTTGTGGAAAATTTTATAGTAAAACAATTGGCATTAATTTTGTAATCCATTAATAAGCATGAAGTGATTACAATAATGGTGCCGGAGCGTTCACAGCATGAATAATTAGTCTAAAATAATTTAGTGTTTCACTTCATTTAATGCATCGCCACTAAGGCTTTCGCCTTCGGACCTCTTGATCCCCATGTATCTAAGTTGGAACCAGCTAGACTGCGTTCCCTGCTTTCGCACTTGAGCATTTCCTACTTCCCATGTAGCTCAAATCCGGTGCTCTTTTCAGTGCATGTATCTGTAACAGCGTGCCGCGCTTAACGCAGTAATCGACTCGACGGGCCGTCCGGCGGCCGGCACACTGGAGGGCACGCTGTCCGACTTTGGCAACTACGACGAGTGTCTCAAGATCCGCATGGTGGACGAGCACACGGGCGAGGAGAACTTCCGCGGCAAGTACTGCACGCTCAAGTTCGCCGCCCCGATGCCGCCCAAGCCGGAGCGCCTCAACTACCACCAAAACATCTTCAATACCACGCTGGATGAAGGAGGGGTAAGGATGCAACAATCACAAGTGGTGCATGTTCTTCTTCTCGGCTTCATGCATTATGAAATATCCTAAACCCTGGTTCAGCTGAATAGTTTGTTGAGACACACAGTGTCGTTGACATCAAAGTCACGCTTTCTTCCACAGCTTCTTGAAGACATGGCCAGAGGGGCGCCCTACTTCTACCATTTGTCTCCAAAGCTAGGCATATGCATTCCTTCCGCCTGTTCTGGAGAAGACATCCAGTCCCTCATCAACGTCGGTAACTAAGCTTTGGCCTACTACCGAAATGCCATTTCGATAGAGCTCTTTGTGCCATGTTTACAACACCAATTTATCCCCCTGGTTTAAGGTAGCGAACCAGAAATTGTCGTCCCGTTGATCTCACTGATCTTACGGTAGAATGGGAATACGCACAACTGCGTCTAAACGGAAGTGATATACGCATGCGCAAATGAGACTCAATAACCGAAGCATGCTACTATAACGTGAGGTGATACATATCGGTCGTGCGAGAATATATATATATATATATATATATATATATATATATATAATGCGTTATATGCGTTATATAATGCGTCGGAATGCGTTATCAAAACAGAAATACCCTTCCAAGATTATAGATGACGCCATAATAAGTGCAAGTAACCAGGACCGCAAAACGCTTTTAAGCGCCAAGAATAAACAGCCAGTCCTCTCCGGCACTAACCTTGTTCTAACATTTTCCGCGCCTGCGCAACACGTAAATGCCATTTTAAGAAAGCACCATAACATACTTCTACAAAGCGAACGACTTAAATCAATTTTCCCAGAACCACCGCGTGTGACGTACAGAAGAGCGCAAAATCTGGGTGACTATACTCATGTCGTCAAAAAGCGTACGCAGTAAACCTACTGGCTGCCGTCCTTGCAACAAACCTCGTTGCAAAGTCTGCCAGCATATGACCACTTCACTTATCGCAAACAGCACCGCATCTAACTTCAGCGTGAAAATAAATGGTGACTATAACTGCGACACGCGTAATGTAGTTTACCTCCTGGAATGCTTGATCTGTGGAATGCAGTACTTAGGCGAAACCGAAACACCCTTCCGATATCGGTTTAACATTAGTAAAATATTTCAGTGTATATTAAATTGTATATTAGTCAACCGTGGTTTCTTTACTTCTGAGCTCTTTTACATGTCCTGCCAACCATACTGTGCCCCACGTGTCGATGCGCAATGAAATTTGAAACTTTTATATTCATGCACCCGTCACATGTCAGTCATGTCAACACAAGGTCCTGACAGATTACCATTTTTACTTTGATTGTCCTAGCTGCAATACCGAGAGTTCATCACGTGAGCCTATAAAAGCGGCTTCATTGTATCATACCTACTTACTCTGACGAAGGCCGTGCCACGGCCGAAACGTTAGTAAATACGATCCTTTTCTTATGTGCTATCTTCAAGTTATTTCAATATAGAAAATACCCGGACCTGTCGTGCCTTCCCTTCAAGTTCTATATATATATATATATATATATATATATATATATATATATATATATATATATATATATATATATAGCGATAAATGCTCATACCAGTGAGCTAAGCTTGAGCCATCCGACATATTTTGTGACAGACAGGTCCTCAACCGAAGTGCTTTCATGTCGGACGAGCCAGTTGCATGAAATGGTGGAAGTGATACGTGAGCTTTTCACATGTCGTTGGAATCGTTATACGCTAATTGATGCAACGTAATGCCATGAGAGTCAGGCACTTTTAGTTTAGCGCTTCGGTGGTTTGCGTAGACTATACGAAAGCGTTCCATGTAATCAGTGGATGACCAACGCCACAATGGTGAAATCATTTGACGTGTATACACAAATACCAAATCACTTTCGTGACTACGGCTGCGTCATTTGTTAAGCTGTGACAGCACCGCAAGGGACTGCTCAAGAAGGTTAACCTAGTCGCACACTATTGCAGAAATACCAGCAAGTAAGATTGCATGATCTCTTCATTAAATAACATATTTCATTGTGCGCAGTTTTGAAACCTATGGACTGGAATGCTACTGCGATCAACTGCGACGTTGACGGACCAATCACCATAAAGAAGAACCACTTGGCTATCATGTGAGTGTTGCCTTTGTTCATTTATTCTTTTTTTGGTCATTCGCACGAGACAACATTCGCTGCTGTTTGAATGCCGATGTATGTTCGTGGCGCGTGTTTAATTTCATAGAGATGGAAAAGCGATTCTTACTTTAAAAACAATTAAAATCTTTCGCATGCATACAACTGAACGTCAGAAAATAAAAGAATGTTTACTTGCTTATCGTAGGACAGGTTTGAAGGGAAATGCAGTGCATATTTCTAGCACTCTCCCTCTCACGATTTTTATTTTGTGCGTCTCGCGCCTTTCGCCGTTTCTTTTTTTTTGGTACTACTATTTTCGCACAATTTAAAAATTTAAAGGTTTATTATGCTTCAACTCACGGTAATTGTCATGTCCTTGGCATTAAATGTATGTAGTGTGACTGTGGCTTAATATATTCTGGTAGCGTACCCTGAACTTTTTTGTTGTATGCAACGTCAATAGCACCATTAGAAAAGAAGGGACCATGGAACCTTGCTACCTAATCATTGCTAAGTCTTTCTCAACGGAGCGTTACCCAGTTGCGCTATGTACTTCCAGCAAGGGGTCTTTTTTTTCCCTCGGTTGCTCTCCTCTTGTCCTCTGAATCTGCTTGCTTTCATTTAATTGCCTTCATTCTCCATCGTACGCATATTTCTCCCGAGCTGCTCCTATAGGATTCCCGAGAAGTGTGGAACACGAAGTATGCCAACGAGGAGTGTAAGGCGCTAACTCTATACTTCCAGAAAGTACGAAGCGCAACAAAAGCAGGAATGGGCAGGAATACAGGTCGTCACACGCCGCCAACTCTATATAACAAAAAAAAATGTGTCCTGTGAAGCCGTATCAAGCATGCACAAAAAACACTTTCGCACTTCACATCACAAGGGATTGAAAAGTTTTTATTAGGACGCATCAAAAAAAAAAAAAGTTCACATTCACTGCCCCGCGAAACCGCGGACGTACCACTGATGCAGATTTATTTATTTTTTACTCCGACATGCTTCCGTTTTTTCGCGCGTAAAGCCTTTTTTAGATTTTGCGGAGCTTGTTCGTCTTATTTTTTACTCCGAGTGGATAGTATGCGTCAACTAGAATAGCAACAAGTTCTACTAAGCCCTACCACATTGTCTATGGAAGCTCGCCACATGACATTCGCACCGTTTACAACGACTTTCTGCTTTGGTTTCTTTTTAATCGCATTTGGAGTTCTTAAAATGGGAGGATTTTTTAGGATATTCCTTCAATCTCCAATATATCAGTGGAATGTAACATTTGTCGATGTTTTGTGCTCTCTGACGCAGCATCGTCATGGGCATTGTTGCAGCCCTGTGTTTATTGGGCACCGTTTTAACTACATGCCGCCGGATGTGTTCCCAAGATCCAAAGAACCTACGACCGAGTAAGTAGGTTCGATACATTTCAACGGTGTCAAGTTTCATAATGTTATTGTTCAGATTGTTATCCAGCACACTGTCCCACGTGCATGCTGTTCACTGTGTGGCTAAACTTACAAGCGTAAGTTAATTTGGTATTCAAACTGACCCTATTTAGATAAGAATCAAACTATCTACATGTGCGATGTCAATATATTTCCATTGCTAAACGCTGTCATCGTGATTCGTACTTTTTAGTGCGAGTAGATCTAAGCAATTTTACATACCTCACAACTTTAACCACAATACTATTCGAAGTCATTTCAACTGAATTCCGACATCGGTGCGAATAAATGACAACAATGCTTAGAAACACTTAAGGAAAGACGGTGCAACATGCCTGGTAAGATGTCATTCGTGTGCACTCTGCATTACTGAGATCGTGGCATGCTGCAGAAGCGTGATTTAGTAATGATAATTAACCATTAGTGGTCAGAACTGTTTTTACGAAAGAACTTTTATACAGTTTTCTAGCATACAGTGCGATTCGAGACATCTCCCTTTTCTCGCATATCATGTTCTGTGAACTTGACACTTCTACTGAGTACGAAAAAAACAGTAATGCACTCGTCCAAAGCTCCTCCGGTCATATCGCAGGGTTGGCAAGTAACCCTGCCATTATTGCAAGGACGAAATCCACTGCGACGGCGTGATATCAAGACGCAGTCGTTTTTGAATCCGTAGAAAAATGATTTAACCTGCATGCAGTACTTGTACTTGACCGGCAAACAGCACCTGAGGGTTAGTTATTCCCACAAATTTCAGACACTCCAAATGATACTATTTATATTGAGAAAGTTTGATTATAATTGTGTAAACCATAGAATAAAAAATTGCCACGACAATGTGCATAATACGGAGTATCGTTTGGCGTTCATTGTGGTGTTTTATTGTACACATGATTTACATGGTGATTTTTAAACCGTGACATTCAATTGAACATGCCTTCCTTTTACCTTTGATTTGTAGATTTGTTTTTCGACGTCATGAAATGCTTCTCATTCTACGACAACGCTATGAAGCTCTTCAACACAAAGTCATCCCAAGGAATGCTTGGCGCCATCCATGGCATCAAGTTCCTGAGCATGTGCTGGGTTGTGCTGTGCCACTCCTACATCTTTATGAACCCTGAACGAGTCGGTACTGCCTATTCTTTGGAACTTTTTATGCAAGGGCAGTTTTATAGACTACGCAGTAGCTCAAAGGGATTGCAATACTGCATGATACGCATTAATACTTGTATAATTCTGTGCAAACATGCCAAACGCAATGTAACAAAATGAGAAACTCGGGCCCAGGACAATCTAACCATTCTACTTTATTTTTTTTGCGCTTCGTCTTTAGTCTGGTTGTCACTCTGTCTATATGATTACACCAATGTCGGAGCGTGATGACAAAAAAAAACATGAATGGGTGACCGGAATCCTCCTTTATGCAAACCCTGAAACATTTAAGGCAATGGGACGACTTATGCGCCCGATAAGCTTGAAGCTATTCACAGTATTTGTGACCACTCACCATGCCGACAACTTACTTATTATTAAACAATAATTTGAAAAGAGAAAAAATATTCCATACATGCAACTAATTGCTCCAACTAAACGTATACTGTAACCACCAGTTGATGCTAATCTGCGCAGCCTCCTTTTGCAGTGAAAGCTGTTTTGATATAACAGCCAGTTTTGAAGTTGCAGTTGTCCACCGCCAGTGTCCACAACAGCTATAGCGAACAATGAGAAAAAATATTCTCGATTAAGTGAAATTTGAATCCAGGACCTCCATGTGGTCGTCGAGTATGTTTAAAATTGCAACCAAAAAAGACCCTTATCAGGGTTCAAGCCAGGCAAGGCCTGACGTTAAAAGACTTAAAATAGCGCGGTAAAAAGGCAAAATACCAAGGAGGCGTTACACAATGCAAAGCGCGTAATAGGTGGAGGGTTTAAAGCTCCCACCCATCGCATAGGGTTCAGCCATAGTGTTCATCAACAGCCACAGCGTGAGTGCAGTGTACATATGCCTTACATATGGGTAGCGGGTGCCTCGCTTCTCCGCAGAATGGTCAACAATGGCGTAGCGGTCTACTTGCCAAAATTACAATGATTTATAGCTTAGTGGGAACGTAGCAACTGTATAGTTGTAGTAGCCATCCCCCCAAAAATTACAATGACCTCAAGAAATTCTGCTTATTCGGCTTCCTCTCTGTGCTGCGTGTACTTCGCATTCCTCTTCTTTTTTTTTACTTTTTCCCAATGCATGAGAGCAAGCAGCTGGGGCTTGGTCTGGTAAGCATTTGTAGGTTTCTATAAATTTGAATTTCTTCTGCCAATTTTAGATTTCTATTGATTGCAGACTTGCATGTAGCAAAAGGTTCTATTCAGTAGGTTAATGCTACCAGAGTCTTCCAGGAATCTGCGGCAGCGTACAGCTATCACCACTCTTAACACGAACCTTCTGCAGCGTGTCCTAGACCAACTTCGACTGACGCCATTGCCGCGAAGCGTGTCTCGGTATGTTGACGACAGCTGGACCACAGCTTGATTGCACTGGTCGCCTTGTCTTTCGCTAAAGTCTGACCGGCGGGGAGGAGTGGCTCAGTATTGACAGTTACAGCTGTCGTCAACCGCTGCGAACATGGTGACCGACACTTTGTGGCACAGTCCAAGCTGGACCAGGTCACACTGCGGAGCGTTTATTAATCGGCTGACGAATGCACTTGCTAATCGCAGGTGCCACAAAAATTGGCTTTAGTAAGTGCTCCCCTAACGTCATAACGTTGTCTCCTCTTTATACCGTTAAGGTGAAAATAACCGATGAACATTATCCTTTGATTGTTCAATACATAGGTTGCGCCAGGGTGCTCTTTTTCAGTATTAACATGCTCTAAACGGGAAAAAGGCACGTTGATCAATACACGGCATGTATACAAGTTCAACGATTTGCGTGGTGTGTTTCGAGGAATGAGATGATGTTTATCATTTTACGTCGTTTTCAGTGTCATTGGAGAATATTCACGAAGATCCATTCAAATGGCACTTCCAAATAATGATGAATGGTTGGTTGGCTGTGGACACATTTTTTATGCTCGGGTATGTAATATTTTTTCACAAATAGTTTCGCGATTAATACATTTGTTGCCTAACTAAATCTGCTTCAATTTTGCAGCGGAGTAACACTTGCCTACTCAACTCTGCGGCATATGGCAGAACACAAAGGACGTCTCAACATATTCATCTACTTTTTTCATCGCATATTAAGGTACTTAAACATTCCTGTTCTTTGTATTAACATGATCGCGATACGTTGTTTCGCAGGTTTTACACCAGTGAATCAGCACTCGTACAACGTGAACTTTATGCACGCCTGGAGCCTTCACTTAACGCTATTGCATAACTTTCCAACGGCTCAATGGGCCCTTGAATATCCAAAGCAACCCGATTGCATTTTTTACTTGAGCGACATACCGCGCCATGCAATTAAGGCTGTGAGTACTAAAGCAGCGTGTGTGTTTGGAGACGTTGTAAGCTATCTCCCGGTTTAGCTTTGCAAAATACCGTCGCATTCTAGCTCGTGTCAATAATTTCACTGCCACCATCCTTTTTATAGAATCGTGCCACCCTTGGGCTTCACTCTGGCACTCATCATTCTGCTGCCCGTGTTCGGCCGGGGACCCGTGTGGCACGAAATTGTGGACGTGCAGGCGAATAAGTGCGAGCAGAACTGGTGGCAGACTCTGCTTTTCTTTGCGAATTTCGTCACCACCTACGACTCGATAGTGAGTGCCTTGAATTTCATTTTCAGTGTGCCAAGACGCGTTGATTGAGCAAAAAAGGATAAGCACCCCAGCATTTGTAGATATGTAGCTGATGTGTGGACTGCGTGCTATATATCCAATAGCGTTGTAGTCTGGAAGTGCATTCGGCTGAAAGAAAGTCAAATCAAGCTGCTTTTCTGTTCCACGTTATGTTTTATTTCAAAAGTAAATTATAATGACACAAGTTTTGTTCACAGCATGCGGCTTTGTTAGATGTGTTCACGCACGTTTCTTCAACGGGAGGTCAGTCACTAGAAAAAAGAAACTTTCTTGCTTCCAAGCATTATGCGATCAAGTTAGCCGCTAAGCTGCGGGTGAACGCTTATTGAGGCGCTGATATTCAACGAAAATTGATGAATGTTGTTTTCATTGTTACTGACTGCTTTGGGCTCATCTTCCTTGCAGTGTCTGGAGACAACTTGGTACCTTCAGTGCGACATGCAGTTTTACATAATTGCCCTTTTGGTCGTTCTACCCATGTACAAGTAAGAAAAGTCTGGCAGTTGTATAAATTACGAATTTCACCGTGACGTTTTTCTAACCAACTGTATTTCAATGTCCCTGATACACGTTCATCTGTTGTCACATCAGCCTTATCCTTCTAATAAAGCAAATTTCTGGTAAACTAACATTTTCAAGTTGGTGCCGCATATCAAGACTTAATGCTTCATAAACTAAATGTCTCATAGGCGGTGGTATTAGGCAGGGATATCCGCCACTAAACCGTGTATTATGTTATCTCACTAATGAATATACGACAAAAGATGCAGCAAGAACAAAGCAGAAACTGAACATTTAACGCGAGGAAAAGACTTCTTGCGTTTTAATGAAAACCTATTTACTTTCTTTGTTGCAGGCATCCTGTCCTGGGAAGTCTCATCAACCTCATGTTTCTCGTTGTGTCTTTTATAATAATGGCGGTCATCATAGTTTATTATAATTTCCCTGCCATCATGATTTTCCTGCACCCTGATGTCGAGTAAGTGTACGTTTGCGCCAAGCATGGTTAAGTTTTTTTTCCTTGCTTGCGCTTACGAAAGAGAACACTAATTTTTTTTACCTATGATCATCGAACAATGCTCATTTTTTAAATGACCATGAAACTTATATCGAACTATTGTTAAAGCAAAAGTACAACATAACTAACTGATTAAAGTTGTTTCAGAGACATAAAGGCTCGATCAGTGAGCAGCAACACTATTAGACGGGCTGGAAGAATGTAACTGCTTTTGCAAGGGAAGGCCAAACCGTAATGACATAATGGCGAACTAACTGTAATCTTCATGCTTGAATTTCGGGAATCTCTAAGAGTGAGCACACCAAGAAAACTTAAGTTTGGCTTCTCTCACGACGTCAGTGTACAATACTTTTAAAGATTGTAAATGAGTATATTGGAATGGAAGTGTAAGCTTGAAGTGCTACCTAAGGGGTAATAATTGCTCCGTAGTGTTCTGTCGGCCTCTGCTCGACCATCATGGTTCATATTTCGGTCACCGTGCTTACAACATAGTGACCGAAGTACAACATTGTCTTAAAGTTACAAAAAATATCATTGTGCGTATTCCATTGCAGACTCATCAAAAAGGAAGCGTTCTATATTCACTGGAGGCCCTACACACATTACGGACCTTACGCCGTTGGACTGTTCCTTGGCCTCCTTTTCTTCAGGAAGCAGAAAATTCGTTTCAGCAAGGTACGTGTCTGATTTGGAAGCCTTGTGTACCTCCAATACAGTGTGCGTCTTTTAAGGGGCGAGGAGGGGGCTCTAGGAACTGCACATCAACTGTCCTTGTGGCGTTGAATTGATCAATGTGCTACGTCGCTCCTGATGACACACTTTCGCGCAGCTGCTGAAGGGTTTAATGAGAGAACACGCCTTGGATACCTGGGGCTGGTGAAATACGATGGGGCTAAAGAGCCGTAGTGATACTGTTTCAGGATAGTCAGAGACAAAGCAAGGAAATAACCTTGACTCCAGTGATTGCAACCACTTGACTCCTTCAAGTCACCCCACAGAGCCAATTTTTTTTGCTTGAGCGCCTTAGAGACAAGGAAAGCGTTGGCGACAATAGGCAAGTGTTGAGAAATGGCGGTATTTGTTTTCGCTATTGTAGCACCACCGTGAACATACCGTAGTCCCATATACAAATGCAACAATCGCCGTAAGACTCCCTTTCGAGAATACTATCTTTGTTAGTTTTTACTCTTCCCCGCACTTTTTGTACGCAATTTTTCTCACATCTGTTCACTTTGAATGTCCGCCAGAAATTATTTGTTTTCCCCGTGGTTCTTGTGCAACAGTAACCTTCATTTTAAATTTCGTGAGTATTCATTTTTTTTAGTTTATAATCTACAATGATGTGCCTTCACATCAGTTATATACTCTTAGATACTTAACGGAAGGTTTGTTATGGTGGATAGTGCCACCAAGTTGTCACTTCAGCGTTATCCACGGAGTGAAGTAGGGATTGCTGCCTAACGGTAACCTGGTTGTGTAATTACTAATGCAGGCTCGACCACATCTAAGGTTAGTCACGCCATGGTCGTGTAGTGTTTAAGGTACTCGGCTGCTGGCCCGCAGGTCGTGGGATCAAATCCTGGCTTCGGCGGCTGAATTTTCGATGGAGGCAAAAATGTTGTATGCCCGTGTGCTCTGATTTGGGTGCACGGTAATGAACCCCAGGTGCTCGAAATTTCCGGAGCTCTTCCCTACGGCGTCTCTCATAATCATAAGGCTGTTTTGGAGTATTAAAATTCACATATCACATCCTAGAATAATACCTTCTTAGTATTCAAGCCGGTAAATCGACAGCGTATATTCTACTCCATGAGTAAAATGTTGGTTATACGACGTCTAGTCGAGACGTTGATAAACAAAATAATAACTTTTGTATTACGTACAAAACAACAGCCTTTTGAATGTTATTGAGATGTTGGCCACAGATGTGAGCTACCCTGCATTTTTTGAGGTAATTACAAGCGCAAAAGTTTAAGACCACGCTAGGTGAGGCCAACAGCCTCCCTGCGACATATACGCTGTGGCACCCGTGATACGATTATTTTTATTTTTTTCCCTACCGTTCTCTTTTCAGTGCGGCGAGAATTTTGGCAGCCATAACTACGTGCTTGCGTCTCAAGAGCAGTATGCCAGTGTGACTGCTTTCAGCCGCAACCATTCGCCCAATCAGATAATTCATCGAAACACTGTTCGGCCACTATGTGATTGCTGCAATTTCGCTATCAAAATACGGCCACTTGATGAAAACGAGGTTCATTCCCATCAAGAGGCCGTGGTAAAAGAACGGTAGCAGTGTGACGGCCTTGCTGCAGATGAGTATTTTGCGCGCAAACAATACAACTAATAAACAATGGATTGCATAGTAGTTGAAAATTGACATACCTGTGAATAAGAAGACCGATTTACATCATCGTGCTGATGTTAATGTTTGGTGGTGCAGACAGACAGTTTAGCAGGCAATCGCATAGTCCGTAAAATTTTGAGGTTGACTGTACACTACCTGCAACGGGAACGGGTGAAAGTATGACAATATTTCTTGCCGTGTCTCTCAGCTTTCCGAAGGGCTCAATATAAGTGTGCCCCGTCGCGGTGGTCTAGTGGTTAAGGTACTCGGCTGCTGACCCGCAGGTCGCGGGATCGTATTCCGGCTGCGGCGGCTGCATTTCCGATGGAGGCGGAAATGTTGTAGGCCCGTGTGCTCAGGTTTGGGTGCACGTTAAAGAACCCCAGGTGGTCGAAATTTCCGGAGCCCTCCACTACGGCATCTCTCATAATCATATGGTGGTTTTGGGACGTTAAACCCCACATATCAATCAATCAATATAAGTGCTTCTGAGCACTCTCGCTCAACTTTACACGTGAAGCTCGACGACTAGGAACATTATCCATGACCCTGTTCATGCTTCTTTTTGCATTAACTAGTGGATACTGGGCGCAAGTGAACGCCATGCGGCTCCCACTGGTCTGCTCGGTGTGTCGCCTGTTGACAATCATTCTTGCGCACGGGTACAAGTGAAGAGACGAAGGCGTGGCAGCAGTGCAATAACAAAACAACAACAAAAAAAGTGCTATGCTCAACAAATACTTAGTGTAGATTTACCAATCGTTTTCAAAGCACAGAAATAGGAAAACAAAAACTACGAAAATCTTTAAAAAAAGCGTGTACTTCATGCAGTGATTGTCCGTTTCATGCCACCCTGTCAACGGCACCACAGTGGTAACTAATTGGAATCAACTCTTCTAGATCTGTGGTCGCAACCCCAAGTTTGTGTCTTGCAGGCGCTGGCCATTCTTGGCTGGGCAGCAGCCATCACACTTCAGTTGGCCATGATTTACGGGATCCGCGGCTGGCACGAGCATTACGAGACAGTGGGAATCGTGGGCTACGTGTTCGCCATCACTCACCGGACAGCCTGGGCAGCCACTGTGGCCTATGTCCTGTTCGCTGCGCAGTTTGGCCTCGGAGGTACGTCAAGTAGCGTGTCGTGTCTGCGGCGCGACGAACCGTAAAACGTTCCAAGAATGAGCATGTTATCTGCCCGAACAATCTTCCACGGCAGTAATCTGAGTGACTTGCATGATCCGTGCTTTACGCTTGATTGCACTTGCATTGCAATAGCTAAAAGACCTGTACGTACATCCTACCTTTGAAAGAGATTCGCGTCAATTATTTGCCTCGCAGCAGGGCTCACCTATCAGATTTAGGATGCGAGGAAAATTGCTTCAGGTTCACGGCTAGTACGAAATCACCGAAATCCCAGCGTGTTGGCTCTGAGAACATGGCGTTTTGTTGACGAGCCCGATGTCGTGGTTTTGATTCCCTGTCGCAGTGACCACACTCTAGTGTAGGCGGAATCAAATTACGCTGTTGTGGTTAGATAATGCTATGCATCCGCTGTAGTAGCGGTTACGGTGTTCGGCTGCTGACTCGAAGGTCGCGGGGTCGATTTCAGCCGCGACGGTCGCCTTTCGATGGAGGCAAAATGGTTCAGGCGGTATAGTGTGCGATGTTAGTGTTGAAGAATACCACATAGTCGAAATTTCCGGAACCCTCCACTATGGCGTCCCTTATGTCATGGTTTTAGGACGCTAAGCCCCTGATGTTGTTATTGGATATTGCTATGCACTTGAATATTTATGTAAACACGTCTTTTTCATTCGCCCTTTCATGCTATTTTAGAAATGCTTTATCAAAGGGAAGCAATGTGAGACGTGCTTCTGTATATTTGCACGCTTCCACCTCATTACGATGTAAGGGCTGTCTTGCGCAATGCGTGCTCTGGGAACTATCTATAGATAATCTTACAACATTCAGATGAAATTACGGGCTCAACGAGAACATGCGAGAAAATTCGGGAACTTACGAAATAGAGATCTACGCTTAGGCAGCCGAAAGCGATAACGCTTGAATCTTCAGTGATACGTATCCAAAGGTCGAAGAGCTTGACCGCTTGTCAGATTATCGACGGCCGACGCTATGTTCGCCGCTCTCAGTAGTCTGCATCGCTTCTAGTCTGACTGCGTTTCTCGTGCTCAGGTTGGGCCAAATAAAAGTACTCGTCTTAAACCCACCAACTGCTTCCTTCTTCAACCACACGGTCACGTGACAATATTGATGGTTGTTAAAGAAATTAGTGCGAAAGCCTACTTTATGCTATATGCGGCACCGGTGTTTACACGGCTCACACAACAGATAGCTTGAAATATTCATTGTGGTGAAAAGTTTTTGGAGGTGAACTTCCAAACTGAGTAGACCAGTTATTTATAACCCTAACTTATAAGGTGTCATACCTCGTAAAATACATTGTGCTTTATAGCACAGTAGCCAATCAGTCATTGGCAGTGCAATTAAAAGTCGTAATTAGACACGTGAATGACTCTCCATATCAATGTTACAGCCCTTTGAGATGCTTCACGCATTAGCCGTGCCTAATCACGCAGAACACTTTCTTTATAACAGTTGAACGTGGCAATTTTTTTATCACAAGGCAAACATACCAGTTACAAAACGTGCTCTTCGCCAAATGGTGTAAAATGCAGCACATAAAGACGACCCACAAAAGAAAAGGCACACAGGACTTGCAACTACCTTGACTTGTGTCCTCCTTGTGTCGGCTTTACGCGCCGCACTCTACACCACGGAACTAAACCAACTCGCCGAGTTTTGCACGCTGCTCTTCGCCAAAGTTAGCGGCGCGACTTTCATCCGATTGTTGTGTCGTGTCGCACTTCTACCGAGTTGAGTACATTGTGTATTAGAATTACACACGTTTCAATATTGAACGATAGCTTCGCTCTTGCTACTATAGGCTGTCACGGTGGTTGAGGGACGCCTACTTGACAAAACATTGTGTTGCGTGTCACGTAGAAATGTGTCATACTGAAACCTGGGCTCATAGTAAGATTCGCACACACCGATCCTCGCAGCATGACGTTTGGAATACTTTTATGCATCTATTGGTGCTACGGTGTTACTCATTGGTTATTTATGACGACAAAAAGTGCGCAGATACGCCCACGCATATGTGCATGCACATAGACGCACAAGAACTAATATACATCACAAGCGGCACAGTTTGCAAGAGGGTTTCTGCGTAACGCATTGATAGCAACTCATTTATACAACCGGAATATATGTACAAACTACGCAGAGCCTGAATCGTTGCGATGTGTTTATTGACAAACAGTCTAGTAAAGAAAGATAAAGAGACGTTTTTGTGACTGACACCAAATTGTCATATGTTACAGGCATGCATGAGATGACCGTTTAGATGGTAAAACACAGAAGATTTGTCTATCATATTAATGCTGGTTATGCCTTGTTGCTGCGTACCATTTCTTTTTAGATATTTGTTTTGGTTTCTCCTGAGTACTTAAATCTTGGAAAAAAAAAAGAAACTCGACGAACTGTTTCATACGAAGCACGAGGAAGTCAGTTTATCTGGCAATTCTTTCCAGTGCTTTCTATCTTTCTGCTGATGTTTCATGCAAATTCCATACTTAGACGCCCCTCACGGGGGTCCTTCTTGCACAGGTTGGATTGGCCAGTTTCTCCAGTGGAAAGCACTTATTCCATTGAGTAGGTTGACCTTCATGACGTATCTTCTGCATCCAGTTGTCATGTGGTATAAGCAGGGCCAAATGAGGGAGCGCTTTTTCCTCAGGCATTTCCCTGAGATGGTAAGTAACTTTGTCGTTATTGAAACGTTCAGCTCATCCAAATTATATTGGCGTTTAATTGTGGAATGTATATCAACGACATTTATTGTTGAAGTGGGACTCTGTGGGACTAATATAGCCTTTGGTTACCACCCCCTTTACCACCCTTTCAAATACCACCCCAATTAAAACAAATTCAATTTTTTTATTGTTTCCAGGTATTTCATGGGTATTCAGATCTTTTCTTTTTTCACACATTCGTTCGAAACAACAGCTTAATTTATGCAGTACAACCGAAAGCTTGTGCTCTGTAACTATATGCTGTTATTATTACGATTGGAGATTCCTGTTATGGGTAGCTACCCACCTTTCTCACCGTACTCTATAAATCTTTCAAAACTATTTAAATGCTAGAAAGCACCCCTTATACCAATCGCTATTGGCACAACGGCTCGAATTAGCAAAGTCACACTTTCTGAATCATCATTTTTTCATTTTTCGTTCCTTTGAAAGCATTTCAGATTGCTATGTGTCCAGCGCTAAAAGAACATTGTAAGGTATTGCTCAAAATATCGATCACTTTGTCGTGATGTGTACATTTAACGCTACTCAGTATGTTTTTTCAAACAGGGGGGATCACTGCAGGGGAATTAATGTAAAACGAGCTTTGCTGCTGCCGTTAACATCCACTGCCTATCATTCTCAGGCTAACAACGTGGTGGCGGACCTAGTCTTCTCCTATGCTGCGGCCTTCATCGGAACACTGCTCTTCGAAGTGCCCATGCTTAACCTAGAGAAGATAATCCTGCGGCCTTTTACCGGCCCACCCAAGAAGCAGGGCCGCTCAGGGAACGGTCTGTCCAACTCGGCATACGCCGCCGAGTCGCCTCCCGTCGACTTTGTCATCAACGGTCACCACTATCCCGACGACTACAAGAGATCAGCAGGAGGCGAGAGGAACAGCTCATCTAGGCTCTGAGAGCCCTAGACAATAGACTGACGCGCGATGACAGCAGTCGCGGCGGAGTATCTGCAACCTGCTTCTCACAACACTCGGCAGCGCCTCTGAGAAGGAAACTGGCTTGTACATTGAAAGGTTTCGGCTTGTATATTGCTACTCGGAATGCTGTGAGTGCGCTATGGCGGGACTGTTTACACCATCCCGACTACACTCTGCGCACTCGTCCACCCTTTTCTCCATTAATTTGCAACGTCACGCTGACTCTGACGACACAGTCATTGTCGAACGTTGGATCATTAGTATTGCGCTCACAAGCTAGATGCACGTTATTTTTTCTAGTATGATGTCACATGTCATATGGGTAATTTATCTGGTGTTGTGTAGCACAGGCAAGGAGATGGCTAGTTTCAGTCATCTATCTGCTTTGTTAGAATGTTTGCATGTCAGCGTGGGCAGGCTAAGCAGAACGAACTGTGAAAGAGCGCGAAGCCCTTACGCGCTGCATACTGACTTCAGAACACAAACGTGCGGAGGAACCTGGATGCAGAGGGGTACACCACAGGCAATAGTTGCACGGGTGGTCCTTGTATGCGGGAGCTTTTTTTTTAAGTGACCGAATACTGCAAGTAGAAACCAGGTGGGCCGAAACTCCAGGGGTTAGCGCCAACGCGCATTCGTCTGTACATGCTGCATATTTTGCCCGATGTTGAAAAGGAAGCAGAAAGGAATTGTTATGGCAGTGTGACACACGTTCATCCTCGCTGTCGTTACCTGGATTACGCTTCCTAAAGGTTTTCGTTTCTATAGCGATGTATGTATGTTTCCCTTAAGCGTTTGATGCCATTGATAGAGCCATGTCGTTTTCTGTACTTTGAATGATTGAATTCATTCCCCACTATATAAAGAAAGACAAGCAACTAAGAAAAACTTTTCTTAGGGGAAAGGGAACAAAATCGTGTCAAGATGAACTTAAAAACAGCACGCGACGCATTTACAGTCTCATTCAATTCAGGAGAATGTAAAATAGTAGAAATAGTGCTCTGTCAGCTACGACAGTTTGGCTCAGGACAAATATATTCACCCAATTGATGTTGTTTTTTCGAAGACTCAACTTGTTTTGTAAATAAATGTGTAAATGCCCATCTGAGTTCAGTGCTTCCTTTACCACATTAATCCGAACGGCCAGCAGTGGCGTCTGCTGGCTACGTCAACTGGCTAAATATGGTCATCTAAGGGGCTGCATTATCCGCGTAAATACGGTATGTGACCAACGACAGTAAGCGACGGCTCGTAATATGTGCACACCGTTGTTTTCAAGAGAATGTTACGAGCACCAAGACTCTATATTGGTGTGATGTGGCAAAGTAATCTTCAAGAAGCATCTCCAGTTAGCGCATAAAGCATGGACAAGCAATCTTGAAGTGCAAAACAAATTACTACTTTTGGTTTATCAAAGTTGTTTATGACAAACACTGTATAGCGGAGGCCATCGAATTTATGCATACCATCACGCCAGCATGTAAGCACATGAACAATTTTAATATTTACTGTGGACGACATGACGTTTCTTGGGAAGGATCTCACACCCTCACGTCCAGAAAAACAATGCTAACTGAAGTTTTCATGGGCAAGGCCGGCGTGTAACAACGTTGAACAACGCACATTATTGTGTGCATCTGTTCACCTAATCTGTTAAGATAAATAACTCCAGTGAGGTCCTTTTATTTTTTGGATGTTCACCTGCAGGCGCTATTGCGAACTGCGCGTGGGTCCTTGATCCTAAAAGTCGTATAGTTTGAGCGCAAAAAAAAAGCATCCTTCAAGAATTTGCGGTGTGCTTCATCCCTTTGTGCCTTGTGCGGTGACATCGATGACGTTGAACATTTCATTTGGCTTCGTCCGCAGTTCCACAGGGAAAGAGAAAGGATGGTCGAAAGCCTGCGCAGAGGTGTTATAGCTTCGGACATATGAGGATACGTTTTACAGCAAAAGCTGTTATGAGAACACTCATCGGCCATCTTTGGCGTCATAGTTTCGCAGCCGCCACCGCTGATGTTCGTAATCGCTATAGCAAAAAAAAATCCAATAAATGAAAATATCTAGGAAGGAACAGGGTACAAACCGCATTATATGCCAAGGAAGCCCTCGAGACCACCACGATTCATTTCCTCAGGACATCAATAAAGTTCTCTCTCTTACGTAAGCATGTGATGTAATATAGCGCAAGAGAGTTAAATAACGACCACGCGTCACACAATGTGACCTACGCAACTAGAGGGCAGTTTAAATCTTCCAATCAAATGGCTCAGCTGTAATTCTTCATCGTCATCAGCCACCGCATCAAAAAAGTGAACATAATGTCTTGCAGATGTGTAGAGGATGCCTCTCTTTTCCGCACAATGTGAATAATGGCGAAGTGGCGGTTTCTCTATGTAACAAGAATTAGGACTTATGGTGCAGTAAGTACCTTGCGAGCGTACTTGCAAGCTAGCCTCAAGACAATTTTCAACGGGGACTAGAAATGCTGCTATTCCTGCTTTCACTGTGTCTGTGCTGTGATTTCCACCCAGACCCTTTGTTTCCTTCCTGAAGAGCCCGTGGCAGTTTTCCTGAACGTGCAATAAATTTAATTGCCTTCACTGGTCTGTTTAACACGTGGCGACAGCCCCGTATTATCCATGATTTGCCCAGACGGAACAATGGCCAGCCATGCGTAGGTCAGGATAACGCCACCTGCTGCGACATCCCTACCACCACCAGCAAATTACATGTCTGGACAAAAGAATAGCAACAGTGGTCAATAAAACTGGCGTTTCAGCGCAGCTGCAAGGGCTCCAGCCTTCAGAGACATGAAGTGATGGAGGAACTCCACTCTTTGAGAGAACGTGGAAAAAAAGGGGGGCAGCTATACGCTCTGGTGGCGTGAAGACTGGAATCAGCGGAGCTGGTATAGCCTCGTCCTTCTTCTTTCTCTCATCCTCCCCCTCAATTACTTTTCCCACCCTTGCTGTGCGACAGTATACACCGATTTCTCAAGGTGGCTGCCATTTCTTTCCACTGCAGCGCCGTCTAGCGTCGGAGATGTTGCGCACCCATGCTGGCATGCATGCCAGTGTGTGGGGTTCCGTGGCAGTGTATGCTTGGGTACTTCGATGCTCCTCCTCTTTCGAGGCGGAGGAGAAGGAGCATCGAGGCAGGCACGTATAGTGTAAGCAGCGTATACACTCAGTTCACAAGGTACCACTGTTCTTCGTGGTACGCGCACAAAACATAGCAACGCATTAGGGTGTAAAATGACTCTAGGGTTTCTTTGCCGTGATTCTTTTTAAACGCAAGTCTATAACTCCTAACTCATCCCCTGGTTCCGTTTGGAACGTCGCAATACAAAATTCATGGAACGAAAAGAGCACGAACACCGATGCATGTGGTGATTCATGTCGTAATCGTAGTTAAAAGGTTGTACTCTCATCGTTCTACAGGATATGAAACGATGCCCGACAGGTGAGCTCAAACTTCCGCGTAAGTGCAACGCAATGAGAAAATAAAAATAAGCGTGTTATACATCTACTTCGGTGCGAGCACCGTCACTGGTGATACGACGAAAGCGCGCCCGTTTTTAGTAACGTTGTTGTCAGTTTGTCGTTTGACGACTATACTTAAGAAGCATCACGGCGAGCGCACATGTTCAGGTGACGACTATCTTTAGCAAACTGGGGTAGATTACTCGCAGCACCTGGGTACCACGGGAAAATAGAAGATGTGGGAGTTAGCTATACGCTATACCGCAGTATAAGTTACACCCCAGTTATCCTCACGAAATTGACAAGTCGAGAAAGAACGTATACCATCGCGGCGCGTTCTTTGACCCAATAAAAACTTATCTTGTGAGCTCTTCTGTCATAAAATTTAGAAGTGCTAACTTGATAATTTCGAAATTGCACGCACTTAATTTTCTTAAGCCGCAGGCGTTGTAACTCACGTGCTTTTGCATGGGACGAGAATGAGAGAAGTTGATGTTACACGAGAATTCTCGGCAACACATTTTCTGTATGAAGCACCTGCTTTGACATTGCTTCTATTTGGTGCAGATGATGAAGTGTATGAACACCCAAACAGAATCACAACTGGTGTGCTGATGAAATGATCACAAGGGCAGACACTTAGTAAATAAACTATTTGTTGGAGAAGTAGGCATGCGACGCAAAGTCATTTCGAAGCAAGGTGCTCTTTGCATGTCTCGGCTGCCAGCCTTTTACTCTTTGGATAGTGATTGTCTGCAGCCACACAGAGCGCAGGGGTAGCCTGCCGACTTGTTCTCGTCAGACATTTTGATTTTCGACGGCACAATTGCTTTAGCACGTCGAAAACTTGAAACACATTGACCCCTCATGATCCGCGCAACACAATACGTGAAAATCGGCACCCACCAACGGCTTTTCCAGGGCGGCCAGATTCATGTGAGAGAGAGGGAGAGAGAGGAAAAAATGCACCAGTTCGAGGCTATGCTCTTATGCTATGTTCAATCCTCTCCCTCCTCCTCATTGTCACTTCTCTTTCCCACTTCTAAGTATATACGCTATACCATACAAAGCCGTACTGCCCTTTCTGCCTCTCACTTTATTTCTCTCCCTTCCTTTTATTTTACATCTTTTTCTTTTTATAGATCGAATCCTTGTTGCGGCGGCTGCATTTTTGATGCAGGCGAAAATTCTGTAGACCCGTGGGCTCCCATTTGGGTGCATGTTAAAGAACCCCACGTGGCCAAAATTTCTGGAGCCTTCCACTACGGCGTCTCGCATAATAATATGATGGTTTTGGGACGTTAAACTCCACATATCAATCAGTCAATCAATCATTGTTTTTCAATTTTCTCTTGCTCTGGTCAATAAGGCACCCATATGGCCCGCATAAATGCTTTTACTGCTACCGTGCCCAGATAGTCACGGAGTTACGACACTCGCCTTCGGACCTTGGTTACCCGAGTTGGTATCCCACGTGAGCAAAAAATTTTGTTTCGTTTTATTTATTCATGCTTCTCTCACTTTCCCTACTACTCCTTTTCTGCCTTCTTTCCACTTCCGTGAACAGAGTTTTCCACTTAACGCTCCCCTTCTTCCGACTTCCTGCCTCTGCACTGACTGTAATCGGTAGTGGAGCCTGCACAAATCCTGATGCACATATTCGCCCACTTAGTGAGCACAATTTGCATAGTAACGGTGGCTTTAGGCAGCTCTGCTGTTGAAGAAACTTCGCTTTTCGAAATCTCGAACTAATGCAAGATTGTGGATGAGAGAAGCCGTTCACTTCCATCGTTTTTGAGGTAGTCAGGAGTTGTATCACATACTGAAATGTTTTCACGAAAACTCCACGTAACATATCGTTTTAGCGATGTGTAAGTGATGAGTAAGCGTACAGTTTTGAATTGAAGCGAACTTTCGTCTATCCACTGCGTGAAAAAGGTCTCTCCCAACCATATCACACCCACCTTTACCTGCGCCAGTTTGTTCCCTTTGTGCGTCCGACTTCCTTCTGAATGTCGTCACTCGACCTAATTCTTTGCTGTCCATGACCACGCTTCCTCTTTATTGGTGCCCATTCCACCACTCTAATTTCCCATTGGCCATTTGTCCTTCTCACGAGAGTTGAAATGCCCTGTACATGATTTCTGCGTTAACGGCAAAATGTTCAAAGATCAAAGCATTGTTTCTTTTGAAAACAGAAGAAAGACGCAATTATGAAGAGGAACGAGATGCCTGTGTGTAAAGAAGTGAGCCGAGAAAAGCCGCACAGGGACGCACAAGAAACGCAGAAAAAATGTAGTTTTGTTACGTGACGCGTGTTCATAATCGTAAACTAAATATTACTGAGTCGTGCGTTCCAGTTCGGGCTATAAGTGGGAGTCAGAAATTATGGTGACAAAAAATTTCGAACTTCCTCTAATTCTTTCCAGAGATCTCAAATACACACCGCAACACAACATCGTTTCACGTGTATACGGATAGGCTACGAAGCGTTGCACCTTTCAGAGCCCTCTTCCAGATGAGCTAATTAGCGCCAAAAACCCTGATAATATTTAGTGTGTAAGCATGCTGAAGGAAATGGCTGCATTTTATTTGCCTGCAGGTTCCTAAAACGAATGCCGTC